TCTGATCGGTTTTCATCGTCAAAGTTAAGAAGGTAGCAGGTTCTGCTCACGCATATGTTAAATTCAAATTCGAAATTGTTAAATTATGTTGGGCATTTCAACACGTGACGATGCTGTCAACAGAGCATGTTGATTAACATTGTCTTACGCGAAGATAAGTGGCTATTTTCAACTGTCTTTGTTCAACGACTACCTAAATGATATTATTGAGAGTCAAGCGTAGGCCCGTAGAGCCTAGAGCGTAATTAGAGAAAGAACCTGGTGCATAATTCGGTATCAATACAATTCCGGGAGAAAGTGTTGTGTTGGAGATGACATTAGTTTGCTGATGTCAAAAAAAAAATCATACAAGCAGCAGCATTATGGTTAAATAGCATTGCAAAACTCTAGAATTTGCCTGTTATGAGCATTTGATTGATTTGACAGGAGAGATTGCGTGCGTGGTAAATTTTCATCATTGAGGGAATATAAACCCATGCAAGTAGACCCCAACATCAACCGAAAAACTTGAGTTGCACTCAAAACATGAACCTAGAAATATGGTTCGGTTTGATTTCAAGCATGGCAGTAAGCTGCAGTTCAGAATCATGTACCATCACCTATACCGGTCTCACATGTACTGTTTTTCAGCTTACGATTAGACTGAAAGCGTCACCTGTCTAGCATTTGCCATATTTTTCACACGACGGCTATTAAATGGAAACAAACCAATTCTGCAACTTTTAAACATTCACTGAGGCGAGTCGTTTGATGAGGTTATTTTTCAGTCATCCGTGGAACACGGTAGTGAGTGCAGCATGGCGAAAGTATCCGAATCCGATGAATCGTGCAGTGACAGGTATAGATGTGCTGAAACAAGAAGTACGCGATAACCACTCGATACGATCTGAAAGAATCATCCAGAGTCGTTTCTCTATACCTTCGTGGGCTGCCAAGGTATCTTTTTGTTTTACAATTCGTAACTTTTGTCTGGAAATTATGGCAGTTGACGTCTTTTTTTCAAATTTTCCGCTTCAGATGAAGCTTGATATTTTCATCGCAACCGTAGGTTGGTTTAAGTCCGCTGGCTGAGCTTGGGATTAATTGTAGCTTTGAGTCTAAGCTGATTTTCGATTACGACTCTCAGCCTGGACCTAAGTTTAAGTTTAGTCTTTAACCTAAATCTTATTCTGAGACGTGTAACAGCCAATGTTTTTTTATGAATAATTTTCATTTTGCGTCGTTAACTTGTATTAAAAATGAACTTTCCGGTTATGCGATGTGAACAGTGTCGGATTTAATTTATAATTTATGACAATGTTATTGCCTATCCTTCATATTTGCTATGGCTTATCCTCTATATTTTTCAGTTAACTGGATTTTCGGGTACGCAATATTCTTACGAGATATCTGAGGTAGATCCAGCTAAACAAACGTTGACATTGACGACGAGAAATGTAATTTTGTTTCGAATTATTCATTCATTTTTTTAAAGTTTCATTTTATTTTTATTTCATTTCNTTTGACTGTTTATTTTATTCATTCATTTGAACTCGGAATCGACTGTTCTTTTATTCAATTTTTTTTTCAATGTCTCCACTGAATTGAATTCGACTGATTATTCAGTTTGACTTTTTAGTAATGTAAATAATAAAATTCAGTTGAATGGATCAAGTTTCTTGAAAGTAGACGAGAAATTGACGTACGCTCCAGATCCTGAAAATTCGCAAAGGTAAGAAATTATGTGGCAATTCTAGGTTTTATTTGTCCTCATTCACGTAGGAGTGTGGCTTCAGTTGGCTGTTACAAGTGGTCGTTTCAGCTAATCATTGTAAAACGACTTTTATGGCGATGAAGAGAAAGAAAAAATGTGTTTTAACGGGAATCAGTCATAATGATAGCAGTGATAAGGGTCTCAATAATTTCAGAACGATTTTACGTCAAGAAGCAGCTGTAACCGTTAGTTTACCAGCATTCACAGATTACTGCGAGAAGACATTCCTGAACGTTTATGAATGCAACGC